CACGGGAGAGCTCTGCGTGTATAAAAAGGTCCCGGAGCTCTCCCAACGTGCGGAAGACGGCCATCGTGGAGGTTTTAGTCTGTAAGAATCCGACACTACCTGGGTCTTCCTTTAAAAGACTTAGGTGTCTTATGAATATTTCCTCCACGGAAAAAAAAATTAAAAAAAAGATTTAGGTTAGGTTTTTTTAATTTTTTTTTTTTAATTTTTTTTCCGTGGAGGAAATCTTCATAAGACACCTAAGTCTTTTAAAGGAAGACCCAGGTTAGGTTAGGTTTAGGTTCTTCCCTTAAAAACTCAGGTATCTTATGAAGATTTCCTCCACGTAAAAAAAAAAAAATATACAACGATTTCGTGACTTAACGTTAACTTTACTCCTTACCTCGTGGAATAGTTTAATGGAATAGGTATTGTCGTCGTCGGCGAAAAACACGACGCCTCTGTCGGTCGGTTTGAGATTCTCCCGGAGCCAGCGTAACGCCGCGTTTCGTTGCTCGACGCCACGCGGCTTCTTCCAATTCGGGTCGTTTCGGCCCAACTTGTAATTAGGCGGAGTTGCCGCGGCCAAGTGAGTGTAAATCAAACCACTCTCCTCCAAGAACCGCGTGACCAGCGTGGTTTTCGTTGCCGCGTCCTCGACGACGATCCAGTGGAAGTTGGGTACATGGAGGAACGTTTGCGACAAACGTGTCAGCTCGGCTTTCTGTACAGGCCTGGAGAACGTAGGGGTAATGGCGTAGATCGTAGGCTTCACGGCTGATTCCCGCCTCTCTTTGTTAAACAAATTGTGCGCCTCCAGCCTCTTGATAATGCTGTGGACTAACCCGTACAAGTCACGTTCCTCGCTCATCAGCGACTCCAACTTGCTCCTCAACTCTTGCCACTTGTAGCGCTCTTGATAATCTTTGTAATCTTGAAAACGAGAAATTAATGGGGATTAATTGCGAATGTACATCGATGCGTAACGAAGTAAAAACAAAAATAAAATATCCAAGAGTGATTCCATTCCTTTTCTTTTTTCTCTTTTTTTTTCAAAATTTTCCCATTTGTGTTAATTGTATCTATGGAAATTCGAAAATGCACCAAAAATCTAATCGCAGGACGCTTCGTGTGTGGGATTTATTTGAACGTCGCGGGAAGCATGCGTACAAAATGGTGGCACGCGTTTTTACATCCGTGAGGTTCAACGAAACACAAAAGATGGAGAAATGTACACTGCTAAAACAGAGAACAAATACTCACATATGAAACATTGAAACACAATCACGTAAATAAGGAACAACATGAGGAAGCCCTTGCTGCGGAAGCCACTCCACATATTACATTTAGTACCGTATTCGTTGATGAGAAATGAACCTTCCGTCATTGTTACCGTGCCATCATGCTACTCCACGATGCGAACGCGATGCCTAGCCACGGCGGTTACGATCTAACCTCGAAACGTAAAGCCACCACACGAAGGACACATCGTACGTCATCCCATAGCTTTGGGCATTAATTAAAAGGTAGCCATAACTTCCAACTGCATTATCAACCGAGTCGAGTCGCAGCCACCGCGGTTATTTCCAGATTCACTCTTTACATCGACAGACGCGACGCGAACGGTGTTGAAGCTTTTTACGGTCATCGGTCATTTGGTCCAATCGACGAATTTTGGGAATTAAAAAAAAAAAAAAAAAAAAAAACAGGGGGGAAAGAAGAAACACGGTGTCCACACGATGCTCTGAGGTCAGTATCGTGCGCTACGTAAAAGTCCCTAGAACGTGGCGAAGCTTGGGTGAATTGGCGGTAAATTCGAAACTCTGGTTTGCTGGTAGCGTTACACGTTGACGTAAAAGGTAAATCGAGTGAAAGGAAACTGAGGATCATTGCTCGTTAAGTTGATGGCTAACGAGATAGCGCACGAGTGTTTCCTCTTTCACTTTGAAATTTGTATTTGAAAGGGAAGAGAGCTTTCGAAGGAGCAACTCCCTAGACGCGGCGATGGAAAGCAGCGACACACCGAGTGCGCTCAAGCGAACTCGGCCGGACTCGGGGCGCGTGCGATACTAGGCGCGCGTAGAAGGGCGCATGCTGGGACGTGTCACGGGGACACGCGTGTGTCACGATCGCGTATACATTTGTGTCGTGACTGGCCAGAAGGCGGGCACGTCGAGGATAAGATTCGGGGCTCGGGAGTCGGGAGGGAGAGCAGACAGGCGAGAGTAGAGATAGGCCAGCTCGCAGCGAGCTACGGAGTCATCCTATGTTCGTAGGTCGCCGCGCGTGGCTCGCGTTCCTCGCAGAGGGTTCCTCGTCGATGGTCACGCGTCGTGTGTCAACGCGAGTAGTGACCGACGAAGGGCCGATACTCGACAACGCGACGATCGTTGCTGGCTGGGTAGATCTTGTCTGCAACGAGACTCGCGAAATCTCTTTTGAAATGGGGGGAGGGAAAGAGGGCAGAATCTCGCGTAACTGGTCAGTTTGTTGTTAACTGATCGCCAGTATCGAGGCGGTACGTTGACGACGAGCTGCTGCTGTGCCTGTGCTACTCGTTGTGGCGAGTGGCAGTGGTAGTGGTGGCCGTGGCGGCGACGGTGGCGGTGGCGGTGGCGGTGGCGGTGGTGGTGGCGGTTTCCTATCGTGGTGGTGCCCGTCGTTTCGTAGTCGAGAATCGTATCGTGGTGGTGGTAGTGGTGGTGGTGCTGTCAGAATAGTGCTGCGCCTCGTTCGACGACGGTGGCGAGGGAGAGAAGGAAAAGTGGCCCTCGAGGTTACGAGGCCAGAGGAGAAAGTGGGTGTTGCCGGGAGTGACAACGGGAGGATCATCCGGGTCCTCGACGCCAGGACTCGCGGAACAGGGGAATCGGTGTGTAGGATGCTCGTCGGTCGACGATCCGGGAGTCGACGTCTCCTAACCGAGAGCCTGATCCTCGTTGATCGTGTGCCTCGTGAGTACCAACGCAATCTCCTTCCAGGACGTTGTACGTTATAATACATACGTATAATTTCCTTCTTCGATCATTATTTCGTCGTGTTACTGTTTCCTTCTCCCTCTCTCTCTCTCTCTCTCTCTCTCTCTTTCCTCTTTCTCTTCCCCTCCCCCGTACTCGAAAACGTCGAGGCGAGTCCTGGCTTCTACCACTCAGTTTCGTTGTCGTCCCCTACGTTATCCCAGGAGCAGGAGATTACCGCGTCGCAGGAACCTCGGTTTCCCCGGACGATTTGGGAAAAGGGATTTAGTTCGACGGCTACGAAGGAAATAGAGGTCGGATGCAAATTACGAGCGTGGACGAGGTGGTGCGAGCGATGGGCACGGTAATTGGGGCGAGGGGACGCTGGCTCCGGTGGGCGTGCGGGGGGTGCGAGAGGATGCGTCGGATACTTCCCCCTTTTCTGCATCCTCTTCCTCGTTTCGCTTCCCCCTTCCATCCCTCCCCCTTTTTCCCCTTGCAATTTTCCTTGTTTCACTACGCTCGCGTTTTCGCGTCTTTCTTTTTCCATCCACCCCGCCGGTCGGCTCTGTAAACAGGAGTCACTGGCGCGTGAAGTACATGGGCGTAGGTAAATCTCGACTTCACATACCGGTTCTCTCTCTCTCTCTCTCTCTCTCTCTCTTTCCGTCGAGTTCTTTCTTTTTTCTCCTTTCTTTTTCGACGTAACGAGGGGACCGGGACGGTGTTATCGCGCACAACGATGACTCTGTCGGTGCCCTTTCCGCTTCACTTTCCGCGTGCCACCTCCGCGACCCTCGTCTCGTCGGGTAACACAGCGGTATACACGAATACCAGAAATAATACTCGAAGCTCGTCGACCGGCCGAGAGAGTCGAGAACATCCCTCCCACTCGTTTCGCTCTTTCTCGGTAGTGTGCACTGGCCTCGATTAGTTCTCGCTTAGAGAAAGAGAGAGAGAGAGAGAGAGAGAGAGAGAGAGTTCTGACCGGATTATTCTTTTTTTTCCTTTCTCTCTCTCTCTCTCTCTCTTTTTTAGGGGTAGCGTAGAGGGTGAGAATGGAAGGGGTGCGCTAACGACGTCACCGTGTTGAGTGAGTCACGGCTTCTAAATTGATCCCCCACCATAGTTACTCTTCCTTCCTCTTGCTCTTGCTTTTGCTCCATCTATTTCAGTTTTCTCTCCCTCTCACACACCCACACACACAAACTCTTTCTCGTTCGCTCGTTCTATCCTTCTCCTACCATCCATCTCGTTTTCCTTCATTTCCATCAACGAAGCGAGGCGCGTTGATTTAATTCCCGATGCAACGTGCCCCTCTGATTTACGCGACGAGAAAATATGCCCAGCCAAGAGGGAAATGATCGTGGCCCGAGGTCGTTCTCTCCACGGTAACGTGCCCTCAACTTATGACGACACTCGTTCAATAATTTCGCAAGGTTACGGGAACTGCCGATACCACTGCAACCACGTTTCGCATGAACGATCGATCCTCGCGATTCCGGTCTCTCTCTCTCTCTCTCTCTCTCTCTCTGTGGTCAGCTCCCTCAAGCAAGACAACAATTCCGTCCACGACTCGTTCCCGAAGCTTTACCCCGAGCTCGTCTCTGTGCATGTGTGTAGTAACTCGTCGCGGATTTATTCGAAGCAGGATAAGATTGAATCGTCGACGATATTGCGTGACGACGCGTATCGCGGTGCTTGTCTCGTTATCAGGCGACGCGATAAGTCGCGAGATAGCACTTGGGCCACAGGTTGGACAGGAGATTCTAGCTTTTACGTGCTAATCCGCGCTTACCTGTTAATGCCCCTGAACATGAGATATCCCACGAGTTTTTCTTTCTTATCCCACGATACACGATGAATGTTAATTCGTAAGCTACATTTGCAATGCAAATGCCCCGCTAATGCATACGGAGCAAGGTTCGCTCGATCGGAATCTTGGGCCGGCTCACGAAAAGCTGCGGCACCGGTGGTTAGAACATGTTAGAAATGATTTATAAGAGCGAGTTCGCTATCGTTGAATTTGTGTCTGGATCACGCGTCGAATAGAGCTTTAGGACTAATGCGTGCGACTCGCGTGCGGATCGGGACGTCGCACGAAAGCTACCAACGTAACATCAGAACTGCCAGAGCGGTCGGAACGACCAATTTACAATGTTTTTCGAATAATTTCTGCGGACTTGCAATATTGCGCTCTTTAGAAATTCATTATAAATCTTTTCCTATTCCTTGCGTTCTAGTTTGACTCGATTTTTAGTTCTCGGTAGTTTTAATGTTGACCTCTTCCGCTTGAATGAGAATTTTTTGTCCCAAAGTTGCAATATTTTCTCAGTTTTAAATATATTTAAATACTTAGTAATAATTTCTATTCAGTGATATCATATCGACGAATTTAAAAAGAAAGCGACGATTTATTGTATACGGTTTGGTCACTCGTTATGGTCCGCGAACCAGTTGCCAGCGCAAGGGGTTAAAATCTTGATTTGAAGTAGGTTAGGATTTTACACGACAAAATAAATTGCAATATTTCCTCAATTTTATGTATATTTAAATACAACCCAGGCAAAATGAATAAATTTATTATTTCTTAGTAATAATTTCTATTCAGTGATATCATATCGACGAATTTAAAAG